ATATATATATATACACACACACACACACACACACACACATAAGGCTTGTAGGACCGTTTGAATGGCACATCATAGTGGTGAATTTTCAAAGCGTTGCATTAGATTTTTAGACTTGGCCATTAACAAAAGCATGAACCTTTGGCAAGTAACCACTGGAATTTTAATCAATTCCTCATCCACTGGATATATGTTTCATCCTCAAGATACTGCAATAAAACACCACGTTGCACACAGTAAGTAAAAACGAAGTCTGGCCTGTTTTCATTATCCACTCTGCATAAAATGCACGGGGAATAATGAAAATTGACAGTCCCATTTAAGGCCGAATCTGTGACCCAGATGTTACCCATTCAAATTTATAGCACTATTAAAGCCTGTTATTGCCGTCCAAAGTGACTGGGCTCCAGATTGCCTTTTGCAAAGATTATCTCTTTATTAAACGTTTTCAAATCAAGAGTATTTTTGGGAAAAGCTGAACAGCGATCAACTTTTTCTATTTTGACTCGATGTTAATCCTCCTGGTCTTCAGTTGGAGATGGGAGTGGGTCGCATCCAGATGAACTTCATCCACCTGTTGAGCACGGAGGCCGTGCAGCACATCATCATTCACTGCCTGAACGTGACCGTGTGGGCAGCAGGACCCTCGGAGAGACCTTCATCCAAGGCTGTGAGCTTCAAGGCCTGGTCAGGGGAGAGGATTCAGCCAGGAGACCTGCTGGAGCCTCTTGTGCCCAGGGACGACTGCTGGGTAAAATCTGTTCTTACTTATACAATGACTATTTTCAGCTTCTTAACTCTTTTATTCTCCTCATAATAATCTGTGTATAAGTGAGAAAATACACCCAGATAAATATAGTAATGTCGAGTTTAGGTTTGGATCTGAGACAGAGGCCATTTCTCAATTTATTAGCACATTTTGATTTATTTTTTTATGTGTTCGCATTTCATTTTCACTCAGTTTTAGCTTAAAAAATCAAACATTTGTACAACACAATCTCCCTCCAGGGTAAAAATACTCTTTACTTCTTGTTTGCAGTTGATGCTTAGACATGAAACTTTTGCCAAGTTTGCAGCACCTTCGTTACACTGAGTGACTCTTCTGATAAAGGAGTTGGCAGCAGAATTGTCTCTTGCAGTCAAAAAAAAAAAAAAGAACAACACAAAGGTAAAAAAAAAAAGATGGAAGAGACCTGATAAATTGGCAACTCGTGTTAGATTTTAATTACATTACAAAAACACTTTTCAGTTTAGCTTCAAACCTCCAAAAATATTAAAATAGTTTTTGTTTTAATTATGAAATGAGGGATATTTTTGCAGTTGTTTGTTGACTTGAAGATACAACTTTAAAATAAAATGTTGAAGACCAATTTGTAAAGATGAAGTTATTTTAGAGTTTTTGTGTTTAAAGCTACTTGTTGTAAAGTAGGAAATAAACATAAGAAAGACTTAACCCGAACTATATCAAATGTAGCCTGCAGCCCCACGCTTACAGAGGGTCTGAACTCTCAGCTGAGAAGTGATTTCTTACTGCAGTTTAAAACGATTGGATCTGGTTTACCCAATCGCTAATATTTGGCCGTGAAGTATGCAGTGTGCGCCGGCTCGACCATGAAAGAAGCTAAGCTAAGAAGCTACCCGGAAGTCGAAGCACTGTAATCAACTATCCTCTACTGAGAAGTACTGAGCTGAACCAGATGGCTGTGAATGAGTGCTGCAGGCTCTGTGAGACAAATTTATTTTAGAAGCCTTGTCAACACGGACTGGCTTCATTCACTTCCTCCTCCGCCATTATTAGCAGACTAAAAAAGCGCAGTAAATCCACGTTGTCGTTCACAACTCTTCTGATTGGCCCGGTTGAAATTCTACCGGAGAAATCCTCGTCTGTGGAAGAAACCCAGATGGAGCAGTGAAGGGAAACTAAAATATACCATTTCGTTGTTAGAAATGATCAAAAAAGTGCAAAGCGGGCCGACCTCATGTTTAGAGAGGTTTATAGAAAAAGCTGAGCTGGCTATGGAAACGCCATTGTAGTTGCACAAATTCAACAGATAAATTTACACTGTTACGTTTGAAGGAGGTAAATTTTTTTTTATCATTTTTGTTCGAGCATCACTTTTCTGTTTCTGTCAGGAGTTAAGTAAGGATTTTATCTTTTCTTTTTTTTTGTAGGTAAATATATGGTGAAGTAGATAGTTTTGTTTGACAATACTTTAAATTAAATAAAACTGGCAACACATTACTTTCTGTTTTATTTACMTTAAAGAAGTGAGGAGTAGGGAGATACTGAGACTGGACGAGTAGATCTCGACAAACTGCCGACTTCAAAAGTAGCTCTTGGTTCAAAAAATGTTGGGCACCGCTGGTCTATTGGAACTGCGTGGGAAGGGAAGGCCAAGCTATATGAAATGGTGCAGTCTAATAAAAAAAAATTTACTTCAGTGGTTACTGAATTTTAAAGGTCCACCTTCAACAAACATATGCATGAGGTATCTGGTCACAAATTCTGATTATATATTTTATTTAAAATAAACAATCATTAATAGAAGGAAAAAAGAATTGTGCATATTATGTTTATTTCGTGATTTTTTTTTTGTCAGATCTGAACAGATAAATTTCTCTAGAGATAAAAAAAAGTATCTTTATTTTGTGTCATTTTCATTTTCAGATCAAAGATGGACGCTGGCATCAGACACACTTCGTCTTCCAAAGCCAGGACCCAAACTTGCTCCCTATAGTGGACGTGCAGGACCTGCCGACCACAGAACCCGGTGCACGCTTTCACCTGGAGGTCAGACCTGTGTGCTTCCTGTGAGGACCCCGCCGCCGGGGCCCAAAGTGCTCCTCACAGGAGTGACAGCCTTGAAGTTTTGTTCTGGGGAGACTGACGCTTCAACCTGATGAAATATGCTCGGACTGCAGAAACAGGAGAGGCACCAGAGAAAACGTCTGGCTCTTGTCAGCCGATAGAAAACAATAATGAGCTCTTTTTTCAGACACTTTGGTGATCTGAGACCTGACTGACTCCTGTGGAAGAAAGTTGAACATATTCTACTTTCATCTCTGACCATGTTGTATCAGATTTTTATTCACGGTCTCATACTTGGATTTGAGGAAAAAAATTGTACATATAAAACCGGAACATCTGCAAATTTAACACATTTTCAAGTTTTGCAGCATTATTTATACATGAACTGTATATCGTGCTATGAAGTGCAATGGGTGTTATTTTACAGCCTTAAAGATTTCGACAGTATTAAAGTCTCCGCACTCCTTCGGGTATGGAGTGTGCCTCAAACGGGAAGACTCCAGGTAATCGTGGTGCTGTTTGTGCAGAAATGTTCACGCCGTCGTCGCAGAGTGAACGTGGAAGCCGAGATTTCCAGAGTCTGTCGAGCTGCTACCTCGCTCCGCACCTCTAATCTGACGGCAAACAAAAAAAAGCTGTGACCTGATCTAATCTGGGACGAAACGGAGGCGACGCCTGGTGCTGCGACGGCTGATAAACTCCTTGTCAGCTCGCTTCAAACATCTGTGCTTTAAAAACAAAGGGAATAATGTCATATTTACACATGGACCTGATCGTTACTTTTATGTTCTGCAAGATTCTGACACTATAAGTTAATTTTGTCTTGTCGAAGTGTAACTGTATAAATATGCAAACGTTTTTTTTATGAGCAGGTTTTATTTAAATATTTGAGTTCTGTTCAGCTCGTCACCTCAAAAACCAAACAAAACAGGGTGTTTTCAGTCCATCACTGCTCATTTAGAGCTTTAAATATGATTGGTCACACCAATCTGTAAACTCAGAGGATTTCAGATTATTATCACGGTACATAAGCTCACGGTGTTCAGTGTACAGATGTTTTTGGATGAATGATGTCAAACGACTCCACAGGTAATTCAATAAAAGTCTGAAACTTTGGTTTATAAGCAACTTCTATATTCTTTAAAAAGGACATTAATGTGGTTTTAGCAGAGTTTTGCATGATTTAAAAAAAAAGATGTGCACACCGACTTAGTTTGGAGTTGTTATATTAGATATTTGTTTAAAATAAGGTTCATCTCGGGCACATGGCATGGCGACCCCCATCGATGGGTAGAGTGACTCCGGTGATGAAGCTGGCAGCGTCGGAGGCCAGGAAGGCGATGCTGTGCGCCACCTCCTCCACCTCCCCCGGCCGGCCCAGCGCGTGGGTCTGTTTGCACTTTTCTAGAAACTGAAAATGAAACGACAAAAAAACGTTTTAGGATTCATGCGTCTGTCAAGAAAGGAAGAACGAAAACGAACATTGTATCTCACCTGACAGATTAGTTTGAGGCACAAATTGGAAGTAAATGAGCTAATTCTTAATAACAAAACCTGACAGTTCAATCTGTTGCACTGACTTTTTCCTCAACTTGTTAAAAGTAAAGCGACGATGCTGGGAGCCTCTGCAAACGAAGCGAGGAAACTGAATGTTCGCAAACTTTTAAATTAATTTTTTGAGAATCATAATGAAGAAATTTCTAGTTATTAGAGGTTAGTACTGATGTTAAAAGCACAACACTATATTTTTAGGTTTTCCTTTTTATAATGTTGATAATGTTTAATCTATTATGTTTTGATTGAAATAGGTTCAGTTACATGTCCGAATTATATAACAACACATAATCTGTGTCTGAATGCCTGTGATTCAGCCGTAGGTCAGTAGGGGGCGAACACAGGCATTGAAGAACCTGTATAAATTGATTAATTTCCTGGTTTTTTGCCAGTGTGGTTTCCTGTCAGCTCCAGTGACATTAAACCTCACTCAGTTCCAGAATTCTGGTGTTGTATGGTTTGATTCCTTCTACACATCATTTTATTTAACAATGGTGGGTTTAATATTGACTTCAGTCTATTGAATACATATTTTTCTTACAATAATTCAGTGAAATTATCAACATTCCATCGGATGTATTTTCTATTGATACTGATCCCGTGTCAAGTGCAATATTAATTCTTGACGTGCAATGTTAATGGCTTCAGTAATCTTTGTCACAACTTCATTTAGACCAGGGGTCTGCAACCTGTGGCTCGTTCAAGCTTTGGCCAAAACTTTCTTTTATACTCAACAGAAAAGGCTAGCTTTAGGAGTTTTCCTGTCTGTTTGCAAATCTGTGATAAAAAGAGTGAAACGTGTTGATCAGATCATGCTAGTAGCCTGTTCACTTCAGTAATCCAACTTCCAGCCATAAACTATGTAGCCTGGTAAAAAAACAGACACCTTGTCCTTCATTTTGCTTCATACGAGGGTCTGGACTCATGGCTATAGAGAAGTGATTCTTGCTGGAGGCGTGGCCTCTGCTGAAGTTTTAAAATGACTGGATCAGTTGGCCGCAACGTATGTCGCTGTGACGGAGGCTAAGCTAAGAAGCTAATAGGAAATCGTGTGTGCTGTAAACAACCCTACTGAGAGGAGAGAAGTACCGAGCCGAACTCAGACAAATTTAATTTAATTTGGAAGCCTTATCAACACAGACTGGCTTCATTCACTTCCTCCACCGCCGGATGCTAAAATAACTAGCAGACACTGGGCAGAACATCTACGTCATTCAAAACTCCGCCTTCTGTTTGCTGATTGGCCCAGGTAAAATAAACTACAAGCAGACACTGCACAGAACATTAACGTTCTGTTCTCTGATTGGCCCGGACGAAAATTCTCCCGAAAAAGTCCCAGACGGAGCAGTGAAGGAAAAGTAGAATTGAGCGGAGCTGTGTAGGAAGGCAAGGGCCAGGCTATAAACTATGATCTTTCTCAAATTTATCAGGGTAACTTTTTTAAAAAAAACTTTAAAACTAAACTAACTAAACGACATAATTAGAATTAGAAAGTAATATAAGCCTGCATAGTTCCGTTGTAGTTTTCCTTACGTTTGGTATAAACCAGAGGTGCCCAAAGTGGGGGCCTGTGGGCCAAATTTGTCCCATCAAGTCATTTTATTTGGCCCACATTTTCCACCACTTTCACTCATGGTACTGACTTTATCTTTGAATTACATTATATTAAGATTAAACATGAAATACAAGTAACTACAAGAGACATTTAGATTAGATTTATGCACACATGTAAACCACAAATACTCGTATTTGATCAGTTTACAAAATGTCCCATGAGACTTTGCTGCCTGAGCATATGTCAAACTTTCTCCAAGTGCTTGGGCTAAAAATAAAGCAATGTTTGCCACCCTAGCTGCTAGCTTAATCATATAAAAAGGACTTTACTGAAGCAGTATTTGAATTTTATGTAATATATTCTTGCATTTGCCCTCATCAGGTAGATTTTTATTTCAGCACTCTTAAGAAAAATTTTTTGGGTACCCTGGTATAAACTATAAACAGCATCTTTTTTTTTAAATATGGCCCAATTTTTTTTGTCCTAAAGTGTAATAATAATAATAAATGTTCAAATTTGCTACATATTTTTAGTTTTACAATGTCACCCCCTACTAGTCCAAAGGGCCCCCCGTTAAACAAACTCAAAGTGGCCCACAGACCACCAGTTGATTGCGACTCTGGACACACTGTATTAGTGAGACAAGGAGAAGAAGTGGCTCGTTGGACTGTAAAGGTTGCAGACCCCTGGTTTAGATAAAGCAGTGACAGAAATGGCCACAGTGTGGTTGTGTGTATGTTGTAACTACGTGTTGTTTTAACGTCCCTTCATGAAACTGTGGTGTGTGTTCACGTGTCATCTTATGACCCGGTCCAAGTTCCATCAGAAAATTTCACCGCAGAGCCTTTGTGAGGTAATCCAGTCAACACAAACAGGATTAGTTGCAGTGTGTTTAATGAAAAGCAACGCGTGTGAAAGGTGCTTTGGTTTGCACATTCACACAACCACAGGCTTTCAGACACATCCAGCCTTCAGGTTTATTACCTGAGCGTACTGAACGTCATCCAGACCAGCTCTCTTGTGGACTTCTGTGATGATCACACCGGGACTGAAGAGGAAAAAAAAATTTTTTTTAAACAGAGAGAACAGATTTGAGTGATTTTTTTTAAATCAGACAACAAAAAAAAAAAAACAAAAAGAAAAAAATGGAATAACTTCAAAGTTTAACACACCAGACAGCGTTCACTCGGACTTGTTTGGATGCCAGTTCTGCAATAAAACAAATCATTTTAATTTTCTGTTTATTGTAAACTTCTACGGCATAAAAACAACAAAAAACAGATTTGGCTCACCAAGTGCTACGCAGCGTGTAAACTGATCAATGGCAGACTTGGACATGCAGTAAGCCAACACACCAGGAAACTAGAGAGAGAGAAAAAAGTCATATATAATATTCAATTTAAAAAACACTTTACAGTAGAGCTCAGTGTTCAGATGCAAAATACTGACTGATCTCTGTCCGTTCACACTGGATACATTAACAATGGAGCCTTTCGTTTTGATCAGGTGGGGCACGCAGAGTTGAGTCAGGTGGTAAACAGACCTGAAAACAAAATGTACGGAAAAGACGTTTCTTAAACTAAAATTCACAAGAAAAATATATAAAGACATAACATGCTCTTAAAACTTCTAGTGATCCTTAATAAGTGCAACAGCAGTGAACTCCCACCTGTGTGCAAATATTCACACAACTAGATGAGGTAGGTGCTGAGTGCTGAGGGTACACTCACTGTTCAGGATAAATGAAGGTGTTGGGATCTGATGTGGCAAACCAAAACATTTTTTATTCCTTTTGATTTTCATGTTGTTTCAGCGTTCGCCTTCATCTACCACACAAACTGACTCGATCTTCTGGCACGTGTGACAGATGTGCTGGTCGGCGCTGCACTGGGTAAGCTGACCTGGAAAACTCTGAATGCACATGTAAAGGACACTGTGTCCTTTAAAGGCAATCTCTATACATCAGATCCACGTTCGATCACTCCCACCCACTGATGCAGGTCTCTGTCTGTGTTTATAAATGCTTACATCTGCTTCATTTAATTATTTATAATTATAATATACAGTTTGAACTGTTAGAACTTNAGGGTGGCCAAGGTGTGTGTTTTAAGGGGGCACAAAGTAAAGTACTCTGGATTTGAAAATTCCAGATGGATGCCACAGCTAATTCCAAATAGCTTTTTTAAATCTGTTTTAAGAAATATTGAGCTAAAATTTTGTGCAATCATAGCTAAGAATGATCGTAACAACATGCTGAATGTTAATCACAACTTATTATTCAGCCATTTTTAGACAAATAAAGCTGAAGACTAGTGTAGATGTAAACAAAAACAATTGTTTATCAAAAAATTCAAGATGGCTACCACAGCAAACTTTAAAAGGCTATAACTCAGCCATTTTAAAGGGATCCACAATGAGGTGTAACATTAGACTTTATTTCATAAACATTTATTTTAACTGTAAAATAAAGACTATAAAAATACTGTAGGCTGTTTAGTTTTGTAAATTTTTTAAATATATTTTAACACAGACAGAACCATTTTATTTACACGTAAAGCATTCTGGGTAAATGATGACATCAACTAGGTCATCGGTGCG